TTCAGTGTTTACTCAGTATTTTTAAGTTTCATGTTCAAAGAAAGCCTGACATGGCCGACGACAGTCATTGCGCCCTCGCCGACCCATTCACTCGAAATGCGGGAATCAGAGTGAGTCTTTATTTCGGTGAGGGCGCAATAACTAGTGCCGACCATGTCTGTCTATTAAAAGTGTGCTAGGTTTCGTGAGAGTTATCGACCGATCTTTTCAATGGTTGTCAGGAGATATGAATACCCGGATGTTCGCTCCAGATAATAAATAGTACAATCTGATAACATTTGTTCATGTATATATTGTTCAAGGCAAAGTATAAATATCAACTACAAGGTCGGACACTAATTTGTCACGATTAATTAATTTATCTGGTTTAGAATCAGCATGTCAAACGTGCAGACACTCGTGCTGAATGTAAAGTTTATTCGTAACCATTCATTTTTTGACTAAGTTTGAAATTAATTTTACAAAGTCGCTTTTAATAAAATTGCAAAATTTGAAACCCAACTTTAAGCTGAAAAGCTTGAACGTATCATTTTGAAATGCATGTTGGGACAAATGCCAAAAAGTAGAAGTCTCGTGTAATTTAACTCTTGTCAATTACTGGTTATAAAAATGACGGGAAATAAACAGCTCTTTGCCATCTGTTGATAAACAGGCTTCCTATATTCGCTCACCGACAGCTAGTTTGCACCTTTAATGTAAATAAGCCACACCTTCACAATTTTTGTCACGGTGCTTCACGAAGCCATTAAGATCTGTATCACGTGACACGCCTTTTTTAGTATTAGTAAGCAGGGTACGAATCAAATTTTGAAAAGATTAAATGCATGATTTAAGAAGGTCTTTATCTGTGATACTGAACAGTCCCCGAGAGACACTCAAAGTGTTGTATTACTGAGCCAATAATTGAGATTTTCCGATTGTAAACTGGACAGTGCGTAGAATACTGAACTCAGTTTATTGTGAACGCAGTCACGTGCACGGTACGTGATACAGTATCCGTTTGAACCACATAAACTAGATTATGTAAGATACTAGAATGTAGCTTCGGTTTTCTAATCATGAATTAGAAAATATTTGTTTTTACATTTTATATTCATACATACGGACATTCAATAAATAATGATTTATAGTTCGACCGAATAATTTGAAGACCAGTTCAATTCTTGAAGTTATAGAGGTTGTACAACACATTCAAACAAATGTTCGTTTTAAAATATTTTAATAAATTAAAAGAAACTCTTCTAAGAAAGCTTGTATATTGTCTAGCACAAAGCCATATGACTTTTTCTCGAGAATAACATAACTATTTTTGAAAAACTTAAATTATTCAAACATCACACAGATATAGACGGTATATATTATTTCTTTTTTAATGTCTCTGTTGGTCCGTTTACACTGTTGACAGACCCTCTGGCCTAATGTTTTTTTCTTTCAACTACAATGACAAGTTGGGACTAAAGGACTGGTATAAGTCGCTACGCCATCGATCGCCAATGCCGAGATATTCTCCTGTAGCATATCTCTGGCGTAATAATAACGCAATCGCAGGTCACGAGAGATGTGCGCAATATTTACACACGACTTTCATCAGGGTTTACTCATTAAATGTTCAGAGAACCTTCGGACAGATATTGATCGGATATCCCAAGTGAGGACTGACAATGATTTGCACTTTCTTTGAGATAAAAAATGGAACATGATCATTTTGTAGTTATAAAGATGGATTATTAGATAGTGAATAGAAACGTGGTTCTAGAACTACCTCAGGGTGGTTCTGAAACTACTCTGACATTTGGCTGGATCTAGATATACCTCTGGTGGTTCTGAAATACCGTGACTGTCAGCAGTCGTTTTGTCATATTACCTCAAACCACGGAAATCGAAGTGTGCATGGAATCATGGGAAGGAGCGGTGTACATTGTCGTGTGATAACTGACATAAAGGTGATTGACCGGACATACTTGATTACAAGTCTGGAAGGACAATTAGAATCTACCAGGTGTCCTCGTGATTTACATAACAAAGGGTGATTACGATCTACTCTCAATAGCAGTAAGCAGGCA